TGAGCACTTTTTATGGTTGCCCTCAATGTCTTCCTTCAGGCGTCTTCTCACCTCTCTATGTCGATGATCTTACCCTTTGCTGTCAGGGTGATGATTCGCCTCTCCTTCAACGCCGGCTTTAACTTGCGATTGATGCCGTGTCGTCTTTGGCCACCGATCATGGCTTCCAGTTCTGTACTACTAAGACTTGTGCCATGACTTTTACTCGGAAACGGGTCGTTCTTTGGCCTCTTTGTCACTTTATGGTCATCCCCTTGAGTACAAAGATTCCGCGAAGCTTCTGAGGTTATTCTTAGACACTCGTTTGTCTTGGTCTCCCCATATCTCTTACCTCCGTGTTGAGTGCTCTAAGGCCCTTACCCTCCTTCGGGTATTGTCCCATACTACTTTGGGAGCGGATAGGCGCGCTCTCCTTGCTTTACATTCCTCTCTCGTCCTGTCTAAGCTCGATTATGGTTGCCCTGCTTACTCGTCTGCTTTTCCTTCTACTCTTCGCCGTCTTGATACTTTGCACCATACTGGGTTGCGCCTCGGTTCTGGTGCCTTTCGTTCGACTCCCGTCCTCAGCTTGTATATTGACACTGGCTTCCTGTCTCTCCAGGACCGCCGTGATCGCTACTGTCTTCACTGTCATGCGCTGTCCTTGCAACATCCATCCTCTCGCCTCTGTCGTGCTTCAACTTTTACTCCTCCTACGGTTCCTGTTCGTCTTCACCACCTCCCTCCTTCTGTCCGGTTGTCTCGCTTACAGGATTCTCTTTCCATTCGTATTTCTAATATTTCTCCTCGTGTTGTTCCTTCTTTGCCCCCCCCCCGAGGAGAGTCCCCCTTCTGCCATTTTGTACATCCTTGACCCGCATCCCCAAAGCTTTTACCCCTCCTACGGTTCTAATACGTCTTTTCCTTGAGCACTTTTCTTCTCACTCCCACTCCGTTTCTGTCTTCACCGATGGGTCTAAGTCAGCGGACGGTGTTGGCTACACTGTTGTTTTTCCTGATCACACTTATATGTGTCGCTTACCTCCGGAGACTAGCATCTTTACAGCGGAGCTTTATGCTATTCTCTATGCTCTTCGTCTCCTGCTCTCTCGTTGTCAATCTTCCTTTGTGGTTGTTGTTGACTCTCGTAGTGCCCTCATGGCTCTTGGGTCCTTTAATCCGGTTCATCCAGTAGTTGTCGAGATCCAGCATTGGCTGTTTCTTGTTCACAGTAAATTTAAGTCGATTGAGTTTTGTTGGGTTCCAGCCATATTGGTGTCTCTTTAAATGAGCGTGCAGATGCTGCCGCCAGGGAAGCTGTCTGCTCCTGTCCCATCTCTCGTAAAGGTATTCTTTATTCCGATTTTTACCCGGTTATCCATTCCTTCATTCTTACCTGTTGGCAGGCTTGTTGGTCGTCTGTTACTGGTAACAAACTACGTTCTTTTAAAAATTGTGTGTCCTCGTGGCCGTCTTCCTACCACTGTACTGGCGATGGGAAACGACTTTGGCGAGGTAGCGTATTGGCCATACTCGCTTAACTCATGGTCACTTGATGGAGCGCCGCCCTGCTCCTTATTGTCCTAATTGCATTGTCCCTCTTACGGTCGTGCATATCCTTCTTGAATGTCCTGACTTCCGGGACGAGCGTGTGTCTTGTTTTCCGACCGTTCCCAGGGTCGCTTGTCTCTCGATAGTATTCTTGGTGACTCGGATACTATTGATATCATTCGCCTTTTGCGTTTATGTTCTCGTATTGGCATCCTTGGGGATATTTAGCGCCCTCTGATTATCCCGCACATTTAATGGTGCTACATAGCCTTCCCGGTTTGGTGTCTTCTTATTGATAATTACTTACTTCATGAGCTTGCAAATGTTTGATATCAAGCTGATCGGACGGAAGTCTTCTGCCGAGCTCTCGCTGCCTTATTTGAAAATAGGGTAGAAAATTGGGGTAACATGAGCATATTTCCAATCCAGAGGAACTATCCTTAGTCCAAGGATTTTCTGAAAAGGAGTCTCAGTGGTATGCATGGTGCATTTTTCATTTTTTTTTATTTTGGATTGAAATCTATTCACACCTGGGGCTTTTGAGTCTTTGTTTGTCAGTGCTCTTCCTGATTGTGCCGCAAGTAATATATATCCCTTAATTCATTCTCTTCACCTCCTTCAAACATTAGTGTGGGTTATAGACTTAATTATTCCGTGGATATGATAATGACACATCCTCCCGCATAACATTTCTTTTATTGTACAGTATACCATAAGTTTTTTTTAACTTCTCACATAGATTATTATTTACTGTTCATTTAGTATTAAGTACTAAATGTTTGTGCAAAACATTTAAAGTACTAAAGTGTGCTTATTACCAAATGAAAAGATATACCTATATTATACCTTTACCTGAATACAGTTGCTTCATTTTATGTCCATCCCCATGTACCTGCAATTTACCTCTTCTTATGTACTTTGTATGCATTTATATGAATAAAATATTATTATTATTATTATTATTATTATTATTATTGAGGATAAGAATTCACACTTTTGTATTTGTGAATTTTATGTAAATATTTCACCAAGTCTTTTCCACTCTCCTGAGTGGTTTGTCAAGGTCTAAGAATGTGGGTTAGGACAAGACTTACATCTCAAAGACTAATCTTGATTACTTGTTGAGATATAAGTCTTGCCCTAACCACACACTCAGTCCTTGATAAAGCACTCAGGAGAGTGTAAAAGACTTGGTGTAAATCTTTACATAAAATTCACAAATACAAAAGTGTGGGTTTTTATTCTGTTATGTCTGAGAAGACATTACCATTACTTATTATTATTGTTATTATTATTATTATTATTATTATTAGTAGTAGTAGTAGTAGTAGTATAATGCACATCCTTTGCCATTAAGACATCCTCCTCCGTAATGACGCATCTTCCGTTCGTAACAACACATCCTCCCCGATAATAACATATCCTCCCTATAATTACATATCATTCCCATAATGACATACCCTTCCCTCTAATGGTATATTATCCACCATAACGACATATCCTCCCCATAATGGCATATTTTACCCATAACAACACATCCTCTCCCATGATGACATTCACCAGGTGTAGAGCAAGACCTCAATAATAAGTACAGTGTGAAACATGTAATGATGCAGGCAGTCTGATATGTGTTGGTGCTATATGCCAATGTCATGTAAATTACCTAAGTGTAATTATTTAAGTGTAATTACCTAAGTGTAGTTACAGAATGAGAGCTACGCTCATAGTGTCCCGTTTTCCCAGTACTCTGTCATATAACGTTTTGAAACTACTCACAGTTTGGGCTCCTCCACCTTCTCACCTAACTTGACCCAACCGTCTACCACTTTGCTAAAGTTATTATTTATATTTCTTCGGCAGCTTTGTCTAGTTAGTTTAAATCTATGACCTCTTGTTCTTGAAATTCCAGGTCTCGGAAATTCTTTTCTATCAATTTAATCAATTCTTGTTACAATTTTGTATGTAGTGATCATATCGCTTCTTTTTCGTCTATCTTCTAGTTTTGGCATATTTATTGCCTCTATCCTCTCCTTGTAGCTCATGTCCTTCAGTTCCTGGAGCCATTCAGTTGCACGTCTTTGCACATTTCCAGTACAGTAGTATGATGCATACAGTTTGATACATGTTGGTGCTATGTGCCATGTGATGAATTCAGTTATACAGTATGATACGTAATAATATAATAATTTTAATTCAAAAGAATATGTGCGCAAAGAACATAAGAGTAATATACGATTGTAAGGACACGAGTTGCACATACTAATGAAGCCACTGTAACTCAAAGTGTTTCGAACAAAACTTAAAATAATAAAAAAAACAATTTGACTAAAGGTGTGAGAGGGTAAAACAATACTAGAAGAGAAGTAAGATAACAAGATGATTACGTTCATGGAAAATAACAAATGGAAACAAAGAAAGGCGATACCTAAGGATGACAGGCATAGACTTATTACATTATGGAGGTATATTATGTGTTGCGCTATGTGCCATGTGATGTGAATTGTGATACATATTGGTGTTTTGTGCCATATATAATATATAGCACGATGCATGCAGTGTGATGTTTCAGCCCATCCTCCTGTTTAGTTAGTAATTACAGAAACGATGAGGATCATAGTACATATATGACGTAATGGACACTTGGAAAGTAGAAATTGTTAGTGTTGAATTTGGACAAACCAGAAATAGCTTTGTACTTATGTTGCAAAGACAACCTGAACTATGTAATGTAAATTACCTAAGTGTAACTACTTAAGCGTAGTTAAAGGGCGAGAGCTATGGTCATGGTGTCCTGTCTTCTCAGTACTCTGTCATTTATAACGCTTTGAACTACTGACGGTTTTGACTTCCGTCACATTCTCACTTAACTTGATTCAATCATTTACCGCTCTGTTTGCAAAGTAAACTTTCTAACTTTTTGGCACTATTGTTTGCATACTTTGAATCTATGACTTCTTGTTCTTGATGATGCAGGTTTCAAAATTTCTTTGTCAATTCTGTTGATTGCTGTCACTATTTTGTATGTAGCGATCAAATCTCTTCTTTTTCTTCTATCTTCTAGCTTAATATATTTAACCCATTTAGTCTTTCCTCATAGTCCTTGTTTTTCAGTCATAGAGGCCATTTAGTTGCATGTTATTGTACCTTTTCCAGTTTATTGATGTGTTTCTTGAGAAGTGTTATGTTCAGTGTGATGCATGCAGTGTGCTACATGTAGTGTACTACATGTACTACATACATGAAGTGTGCCATGATAGCACAAAATGTGTACAGTAGCATTGCATGTTCTGTTTATTGCTGTCACTATTTTGTATGTAGTGATCAATTCTCTTCTTTTTCTTCTATCTTCTGGCAGCAATACTGAGGCAGGATTAGGATATTTTATGCAAATGAGTGTATGGAACAAAAATCATTATTAATTTTTAGCATTCAATAACTAGTAATACTTTATACTTGGTGTTGCATTCCAGGTGTGTGCTCCTCGGTGGCACGCGTATGAGCCGAAGGGAAGCATGCTCATAGACTTGCCACTTGGGATATGTTTCGCTAAGAAGGGACATGCATCAGAGTTTGAGGCATTCTCACCACCCTATGACTGGTCAAAAGGTACAATCTGTTCACATTCATAACAACTGTCTATGTTGCATCATGTTACCATTTGTAAATTAAATGTTTCCTCATGCGTAACTGTCAGTGAGGACCTGAGCTACTGTCAACATTCCTCACCACTCTATGCCCATGTGAGGTGACTCCTGGTTCAACCTTGACAACGATCAGATGTTTAGACATCTGCTCTGCCTGGGGACCACCTGAACATGTGATGCAATTTTACCCACTAGATCTCAGTTCTGCCATCAGGAATTCTTCAACACCCTGGATAGATCCAATGCCTGGAGGACTTTGGTAGGGAAATGGTGTCTGGTTCTGGCATTGCTGAGAGGTACTGGAAGTTGGCGGGTCTTGGTGGGCTCCAGGTGTGCCCGTGGGGTGTGGTGGCCAGCTGGTTCTTGCTTTGCCAGGCACTGAAAGATGTGTTCGCATATTTGTCATTTTGGGAACAAGTTTAGGAGGGGCCATTGTGTTTGTTGCAAATTTAACTACCAGATGTTTTCTGTGTTGGGGGGTCTCACCCTGCCCTCCTGAGGGACTTCTGGGGCTCCTCAAACAACTGGATACTAATGTTTTATCTGCTGCAAATTGCATTTGTTTCTGTCAACAGGCAACATGTAAATAACTGTAGGGCTTTACATTTTATCCTCCAAAGTAATATCAGGTCACATTCAGCACCATTGTCATCAAGGCACTTAAACAACTACAACCCATTTGAATGGAGGTGAATGACTGGATGTGAGTGAGTGGAGTGAAAGGGGTGGTGTGTGAGGTAAGTGGGATGAGATAAAGGAAGGATAATAAGGTGAGTTAGGTGAGAGGAAGAGGATGGGATGAGGTGAGGTGAAGGATCAGGACAAGGTGAGGGAGGATGGATTAGGTGGGACAAGATGAAGAGGGAGGAGGGATTAAGTGAGGGAGAAAGGAGGTTGGGAGTGTGCATCTAGCTGGCAATCTTCCCATGCATACATTTGCTCCAAGAAATACAGTATTACTAGAGAGAACTATGGGTTTTGTGTGTTAAGTATAGTACTCTTAATAAATACTAATTTAAATATTTATTACTACAGGACCTGTTTTTAATTAGAGAAATACAGTATTACTTGCTTAGTAATTAAGATTTAGTACGTTTACGTAGCTGCCTCACATAAATCAAAATTTAAAAAACACTATTTTTACTGAAAATATAGTGTGTATGCACTTGAAATGAAGTGCCAGGTGACAAATTCTGTAATTATACAAAATAAAGCTGTGTACAATATACCCATATGGAATTATTTACAACAAATTAATTGAATTAAAAAGGGGTCCTGGTAGTAGTCAGGTTTGTTCATGGATCACAATCGAGAATTCTGGGTTCGAATCCTTGGCAAGACAGAAATGTTGGGCGCATTTCCTATCACCTAATGCCCATGTTTACCTAACAGTAAGTAGGTACCCAGGAGTGAGTCAGCTTGTTGTGGGAGGTCATCCTGGGAGGACGGGGGATACAAAGCCTTGGGGAAGACCTTGTATAAGACCAACATGTATATATACAGTACATTCTGGATGCATATATCTACTGTACATGCATAACACAATGAATTATGAATAATGCAGAACTCGTGGCGCAGCAGTAAAGCACTCGCCCGACGCATCGCGAGCGCATTGGCCTGTGTTCGTATCCTGGCCGGGGAGGATTAACTGGGTGCCAATCCTTAACTCTGTTCACCCAGCAGTGAATGAGTACCTGGTTGTTAAACGGTTTGGTGGGTTGTATTCTGGGGAAAATTAGGATTAAGGGCCTGCCCGAAATGCTATGCATGCTAGGGGCTGTACAAGAATATAAGAATTCTTGTATATATATATATAAAATACAAAAATAAATATCAGGCTAAATACATGATATATATTTAAATTTGTCTAATGTATTATTTTTAATGCAAAATATTTATTATTATAAGCCTATGAGTAACAGCAAATAATTTTATGTACCAAAAATATTATACTACAAGCTATTTTTATTTCAACAGTGTCATTACTGAGTTACTTGACGGATGGTTCGTGTCAGTTTGGCCTGAGTGTCGCTCACGTCACGGTAAGGCATCTTAGGCTGTAACACTCTCACAAATAGGATATTAAATTCTGGTTAATGAGAATACTGTACTGTCTGTCAAATATACCTTACAAATATGTATAGAGATAACGCGTCTCAAACTACAGCTAATCGTTAACAAAACAAGTAAACCTATAATACAGATTATTTATTTAAATTTAAATTAATTTTTAGCTGCACATGAACTTTAATATAATTTTTATTACAAAGTACTGTAGCTTACAATTCACAAGCTGTTTCATATAATTAGCTGAAGCATCAATACAATTGACATTTAATGTTTATAAATAAAATACATATTTTGTATCTTGATTTTCAGGATCAAAGTTCTTTCATATTTGGATCTCCTGGATGCTTGAACTGGCAAGGTAAATGTCAATTTCAGTACAGAGTTAATATGAATACATGAGAGCAGTAAATTAGACAATCTTCATAACTAAGTCCTTTAATCAATCGAGTTAGCTTCATTTTCTTTTACTTTACAGTAAATAAAGTCATAGGAATAAAAAATTAGATATATAGTATATACAAGCAGACTCAAGATTACTGGAAAAAGTTCCACCTATATGACAGATCTTCTTTCATAGACATGATGGCCAGCAAGGACCAATAGCCCACTTATATTGCAGAGATCAGACGTACTGGCAAATTACTTCTTTCATGAATTTGGATACAAAACTCTAGTTCCAGTGATATAGGAAGGTCAATCCTTCATTTATGTGAATATATGAGATTCAGTTAAGTTTATTTGACAAGCTGATGAGAGCCCTCAAAGACAAAATTCTTGAAACTTGCTTAAAAAGAATATGAAACTAAAGTGCATTATCAGCGGCAGTTAAACTGCACCTGTAGGATTCATGGCAGACCTCTCCACACCTTACTGTACCTGTGTGATTCTTAGCAGACCTCTCCACACCTTACTGTACCTGTGTGATTCTTAGCAGACCTCTCCACACCTTACTGTACCTGTGTGATTCTTAGCAGACCTCTCCACACCTTACTGTACCTGTACGATACATTAAGTTTAAAAAGTATACAGTGCAAAAAGGCACTGAGCTTCCAAGATTTAAATTGACATATGATGTTAAGATATTTAAATTTTACCAATTCGAGTGTAATGATAGTTGTTATTTCTTATGTTTACTCTCTATACCTCACAGGTGATGCTTGGGAGATTGATTTAAACCAACCCGTGACAAACATCACGTCCCTGCACCGTGTCAACCAGCTGTCTCCCAGTGATGTGGACCTGGGCTACCGTACGGGCTCTAATATAAACTTCACTGTGGCTAATCTATATCTTGGCTACAGTGTGGCAAGCATCAATTACAGAGGTGTCGCTGCCATAGTCTCTTCAATGCCTCGGACTATAAGCACCAGGAATCTTATTGTTGAGGATGAATACCGGGTACACATTCATAATGTCTTGTAATATAAATCTTGAATATAGCCTTTAATATGTATAATTCATGTGTTACTAGAGTTAAATCAATATCTGGCTTATCAATATGTGGGTGTTGAGGTTATGCGTTACCTGGCAGTTCCATATGTGTGTTACTAGAGTTAAAGATTTAACAGGCTGATTTGCATGTGTTACTTGGGTAATTGCTCTACATAATGAATTATGGTATCTACTCTCTCCTAATGTTCTCTGGTAACTACTCTCTACATAATGTTTTTGGTAATGACTCTCTACATAATGTTTGCTAGTAACTAGCGAACAATTGGGCCGAACAGCCTGGTTGACTAGACCACCAAACAGGAGGCCTGGTTAGAGGGAAGTTGAGTTTCAGAATCATGGAAAGATAGACAAGTATGCTCTTTACATAATGTTCTCCGGGAAGTACTTTACATAATGTTCTAGAAGCAGCTCTGTGCATAGTGTACTGTGGAAATCACAAGAAAGTAAATAAGGAAGTTTTTAAGTCCATACACACTGCCTATGTGAAACTATTACTTGAGTATGCAGCACCAGCATGGAACCCAGACCTTGAGAAACATAGACAGAGACTTGATGAAGTTCAGAGGTTTGCAACCTGATTATTACCAGAATTATGAGGCCTCGGCTATGAGGACCGGTTGAGAGAATTCACCCTCACAACCTTAGAACAGAGAAGAAACAGAGGGAATATGAAAACTACAGGTACATGCAAAATCTTGAGGAGGAATAGACAAAGTGGATAAATGAAACCTATTTAAATAAAAAAGAGGTAAGGAAAAGGGACATCAATGAAAGATGGACATGCAAATGAATTGAAGATATGTACGGAAATTTTCATTCCCTGTACATGTAGTTGACAAGTGGAATGCATTCAAGGAAGAGGTTGTTGAAGCCAATTTCATCCAAAACTTTACAAAGATTATGAAAAACGTTTATGTTGAGAGGTAATTAGCATAACGGGTATAAATGCCTAGGTTGAAGGACATAAAGAACTAGTCACTGACAAGTAAGCATAGATAGGTAAAGGTAACTGCTCTCTACATAAAGTAACCTGGTACTGTAAACTCTACATGATTTGCTAAGTTAAATAACATAAGTCTAATATAAGTCTATATAAGGTTATCTTTTTCTAATTGGAAACATAAATGTAATAAGTAATTCATTCCTGCATGTGCAATACTGGTTATAATTAGCAAGCAGATGTGTTAAGCAAGAAGGGAAAGGAATGGAACTATCAGGAGAAAGCGCCAATCTATTTCGACTACAGTATAGCACTTGGAAGGCGTCATGATAAGGATTTTGGGATGGGACGGGTGAAAGGAATAATAATTTTTAAGAGTTTTAGGGTAAGGTGACGGAAGTACAATCACTGGTATAACAAAATTATTAAACAGTTTGGGGTATTACAGTGGAATTCATCAAAATGGTGAATATATTTAAAGACAAATTAATTATTAAAAAATATCCTGCCACTATTATTCCCCACCACAATATCATAATTAATATGCAAAGGATAAAACGGACAAGGTACTTAACTGAACTTCAGGAACTGATATGTCATCTCCGTAATAATCCATAAGTTATATTTCTCATTGATATATCTTATCTTTTTTAGTTTTAAAAATGATTCCCAACACACTAAATACACAACCAAATGGCTTAACAACATTCATAGACCAACATTCATCCTTCCCTTTTCTAAGGTTTTTATCTTCTGAGGAAATTAGATTAATCAGTTTTTAAAGGAACCAATCCCAGCACTTATACACTTCAAATACACAAAGAAATCACACAAACATGATACATGACAGAAAATCAATTGGAGCCATAAGGAAATTCGAGCCCTCGACCTGGGAATACCCAATTCCCGCTCATTACCTCTGGACCACGACATGGCATAATATATGTAACCTCATTTTTCCTTCTTGAGGGCCCTGTAGGCCATCTAATGACCTGCAGAATACAACAAACACTTGTCTATCGCCATCGCCCATGTACCTATTTACTACTAGGTGTCCAGATACATCAAGAAAAAGGAAACGTGCCCAATTGTTCCTGTCATGCCCAGGGATTAAACCCAGCTCCATCAATAGTGAATCAAGCATGTAGACAACTGTGATACAGGAATTTAAGTTGTTGGGCAGCGTTTTAGTGTTAAGTGGTGATACCATTCGTTTTTCCTTAAAGACTGGCTGGAGTGATATCTGCATATTTTACTTAGTAATAAACCCATCTACCCGCTGGGTCGGGTTTGGCTTTGTCGGCTGTTCAGGTTCCTTCGAGGACGTCCTTCTACCTCTCTCGCGCGATCACTGGGTTCAGCATCCAGGGGCCTTGCATCGGCTACTACATCGCCGGCTTCTTCGTTTTTTTTTCAGGGTTCAGTGCCTTGGCGCCTACCCGAGCCCTCGCTGGATGTGTTCACGGACACGTCATCTCTGGGCTCCCTTTGTGACCAGTGCCTTGCAAGCTGGCCAGGGGCGGTGGGGTCCGTCCTTCCGTCGGGCCCACAGCACAGTGCAAGAGTTCGCGGCTGTGTGGATGTCACTTCGGAGGGTTCGTGTCGCTCGTGGATCGACGATCAGGCTCCATTCGGATTGCTACCAAGTGGTTCATTGCCTGAACAGTGAGGGTTTGGTACGGTCCTCGGCTCTTTGGTGCTGGTCGCTTCAGGGGACTCGTCTGTTGAGTTCTCTGAGTTTGGCTCTCATGGCAGTTCCCATTCGGAGGGTGTCCAACGTCCTGGCGGACGGCCTGTCATGGTTCATTCCCGTCCACGGAATGGATGGTCGACGCCGACTCGTTCAGTTGGCTTTGCCGGACGAATGGGCTCCCAGAGGTAGACCTCTTTGCATCGGCGTGGTTACGGCGTTGCCTGATTTGTGACGCCCTTTCCCGACTGCAGGGCCGTTGGGGTCGATGTCTTCAGGCAGGGCTGGTCGAGGTAGGGTTACCTGTGTCACTTCCTATTGGTTCTGCTATTGCTCCATGTCCTGGCTCGCTTGGAGACTTACCAGGGAAGAGTTGTCCTCTTGGCCCCTTGGTGGCTGGCCCAACCTTGGTTTCTGGCGCTACTTGTTTGGTGTCCGAACCCAGGGTTCTTTCCGCGGCTCCACCTCTTTCAGGAGGTCGGTACGGTTAGTTACGTGGCTGGTTCGATCTTCTCCTCGAAACTTCGTGTCTGGTCCTTTTGACTCGTCTATCACAATTTGTATGGTGATCAGGTGGATTCGTTAATGGTGTCCCACCTGCTTCATCTCTGCAACAGTACGTAGTTTTCTGTCGGTCCTTCCGTTATTTCTTGTCCTTTCACAGGCGTGCTACGTCTCTGATCAGGTTGTTTTGCCCTTCCTTTCGTGGTTGTTCCAGGACCACCATCTTATGCTAAAGACTGTCGCCTCATAACGTGCGGCGCTGGCAGAGCCACTGCAGCTTGCATTCGGCATTGATCTTACTTCTGTGCCGTTCTGCAAGCTGTCACCTCTGGCCTGCTCATGCGCTGCCTGAGCCGTCCTGGTCATTAGATGTTGTTATTTTAGATTTAGCTACTTAGAACAAAGTGTCCATGTAGCACGGGCTATGGTGAGGCCGTGGTGATCATTAGACCGGGTGCTCTTTTCTATTTTCTCCTCGGTTTGTGGTGGCCCCTTCGGTTCAGGATTTTTTTTCCAAGGCCAATTTCCTGTTACCTCTGGGGATCGGGTCAGGGAGCTTACATGCTCTCCTTCGGCACAGATGTTACTGCTCTTTTGGTCCTGGTGGTAGGTTTGTTCGTTTGCAGCTATCTTCTTTTTTTCTGACGAAGAATGAGACTACTGCTTTGCGGAAGGGTCCTTGGGTTGTTGATGCTTGGTTGGTTAGGCCAGGGGTGCATCATGTGTTGTGTCCGGTTGCGGTTCTCCGTCATTACCTGCGCGTCACGGCCTCGGTATCTGGGGACGTGCTTTGGGTTGACCCTGTTTCCCTACTTCCCTGTTCCAGGATTCGGGTCTTCCAGGTCGTCTGCAGCGTTATTTGGTCCAGCCAGCCTGTGGTCTTTCCTTGTACCCTCTGTTCGTTTGTTGCGGCTTAGGCTTCCTTCTTCGGTACTATGTCTGGGGCTGACATTCGGGTATAAGGTTTTTTTGGTGGTCGAACAGGGGTCCTGACCGCTCGCTTCCTTGTCAATATGTCTGGCCTGAGTTGGGTGTGAGTTGCATCGGGTTGGAGGTTGCGGCCTGTTGTCTCGCTTTCGAGTTGGGGAGCGAGTGGCGTTCTCCTCCCGGGTAAGTCCCTCTTGTTTTTGTCTTTGGGTAAGTAGCTCTGGGGAGCCGAAGGGGCTCCCCCCAGAAAACTAGCGTTGAATATAAGGAAATACCATTTTCTGGGTGAGAGCCGGAAGCTCTCGGGCAACCTTCCTTCCGGTCGGCGTTTTTTCGCGTGATTTTGACATCCAACCTCTGAACTGGGGTGTGGTTAGCTGGCGTGAGATCTGGGGTTCCCCCTTTCCACTGCTGGGGAGGGGGAAGTTGCACAGAAAAGCGACGAGGTAACGTCATGCTCGTTTTCGTTTGGGGAGTTCTGTCCACTAGCTCGGTTTTCAGTAGCAAGTTCTTAACCAGAATAGATGTTTGTTTTGGGATACTTACCTTTCTGGGTGCCTGACCCGGTCAATGGCAGACTTAGAATACTTGAAACCACACGGGGGTTTCTATAGGCAATTGCTCATCATGCCTCTCTGAGGAAGCCAGGTTCTGGCTCGTGGTCCCCGGTAGGCATAGAACTCCATTCACATTGACTGATGCCAAAGTCAAATATCCATATCAGCCTGGATGGCTCCAAGGAGCCACCGGGTCTCGCCCAGAAAATTGCGTTTCCATTACATTCAATGCTCTTCTTTTTTGCTTGATTCGAGGGAGTTCAGCCTCCTTGTTCGATTTTCGGTTGCAATTTTCTAACCACATGCGGTCTGTTCTGTTATTCCTACCTTTCTGGATGCCTAACCCCGGTCGACGGCAGATAAGGAAAAACCCCAACCACAGGGGGATTTTCCAGGGCCATTGCTTCCTGAAGCCTCTATAAGGGGGCCAGGTTCTGGCTCGTTGTTCCCAGTAGGTTGAACTCCATTGACTAATGTCCTGGTCTAATGATTCACAAATTAGCCCGATTGCTCTTGGGAACCTCCGAGGCGCACCTAGAAAATAGTGTTTCATTACATTCAACGCTATTTTTTTTTGCACTTTTGTTTTGATTGGAATTATCAGTGGCAACACCGTATCACAATAATAATAATATTATATATGGTTAAAGAAAATACAATACTTAAACTGCGTTGCTTAAGGAAATACCTAAATACAGTAAATTCTTTAACTACATATAATAATATTATAAGTGAAGATACATCATACATCTAACGAAAATCCTATTTTCGCCATCCAAGGACAGCTTATCTGAATTTAATAGAAATTGCTCAGTGGCGTCCCCTTCAAGTGGCACCCTGGGCACATGTCGTACTGGCCATACTCTAGATATGCCACTGTGTGTGGAGATCCAGTACTTTAGACACTTCTATTATAATTTATAATAAATTTGGCAAAAGCTCATAGTTTTATGTTTTACAGAATGCTGTGCTTGGTCCCATTATCTACATACTTCAGCAGGATCCTTACAACCAGTTTAAACTTAAAGTTCTTGATAAGATTAAACCAACATTGGTAAGCTACTAACTACTAATGCAGTTTTACCGGAAATGAAATTGTAATCTAATATTATTTAATTTCATTAATATATATATATATATATATATATGTATATACATATGTGTGTGTGTGTGTGTGTACTCACCTAGTTGTGTTTGCGGGGGTTGAGCTCTGGCTCTTTGGTCCCGCCTCTCAACCGTCAATCAACAGGTGTATAGATTCCTGAGCCTATCGGGCTCTGTCATATCTGCCGTTCGTATGTTGGCCAGCCTAGCATATGCCGCTGATGTTATCCGCTTGATATGTGCTGCAGGAGACAGGTCTGGCGTGATATCAACCCCCAAGTCTTTTTCCTTCTCTGACTCCTGAAGAATTTCCTCTCCCAGATGATACCTTGTATCTGGCCTCCTGCTCCCTACACCTATCTTCATTACATTACATTTGCTTGGGTTAAACTCTAACAGCCATTTGTTCGACCATTCCTGCAGCTTGTCCAGGGCTTCTTGAAGCCTCAAGCTGTCCTCCTCTGTCTTAATCCTTCTCATAATTTTGGCATCGTCCGCAAACATTGAGAGAAATGAATCGATACCCTCCGGGAGATCATTTACATATCAGAAACAAGATAGGACCGAGTACAGAGCCCTGTGGGACTCCACTGGTGACTTCACGCCAATCGGAGGTCTCACCCCTCACCGTAACTCTCTGCTTCCTATTGCTTAGATACTCCCTTATCCACTGGAGCACCTTACCAGCTACACCTGCCTGTGTGTGTGTGTGTGCGCGTGTGTGTACTCACCTAGTTGTACTCACCTAGTTGTGCTTGCGGGGGTTGAGCTCTGGCTCTTTGGTCCCGCCTCTCAACTGTCAATCAACAGGTGTACAGGTTCCTGAGCCTATTGGGCTCTATCATATCTACACTTGAAACTGTGTATGGAGTCAGCCTCCACCACATCACTTGTTAATGCATTCCATTTGTCAAATACTCTGACACTAAAAAAGTTCTTTCTAATATCTCTGTGGCTCATTTGGGCGCTCAGTTTCCACCTGTGTCCCCTAGTGCGTGTGCCCCTTGTGTTAAACAGCCTGTCTTTATCAACCCTGTCGATTCCCTTGAGAATCTTGAATGTGGTGATCATGTCCCCCCTAACTCTTCTGTCTTCCAACGAAGTGAGGTTTAATTCCCGTAGTCTCTCCTCGTAGCTCATACCTCTCAGCTCGGGTACTAGTCTGGTGGCAAACCTTTGAACCTTTTCCATTTTAGTCTTATGCTTGACTAGATATGGACTCCATGCTGGAGCCGCATACTCCAGGATTGGTCTGACATATGTGGTATATAATGTTCTGAAAGATTCCTTACACAAGTTTCTAAAGGCCGTTCTTATGTTAGCCAACCTGGCATATGCTGCTGCCGTTATCCTCTTGATATGAGCTTCAGGGGACAGGTCTGGCGTGATATCAACCCCCAGGTCTTTCTCTCTCTCTGACTCTTGAAGTATTTCATCTCCCAAATGGTACCTTGTATCTGGTCTCCTGCTTCCTACCCCTATCTTCATTACATTACATTTGGTTGGGTTAAACTCTAACAGCCATTTGTTCGACCATTCCTGCAGCTTGTCCAGGTCTTCTTGAAGCCTCAAGCTGTCCTCCTCTGTCTTAATCCTTCTCATAATTTTGGCGTCGTCAGCAAACATAGAGAGGAATGAGTCTATACCCTCTAGGAGATCATTAACGTATATCAGAAACAGGATAGGTCCAAGTACAGAGCCCTGTGGGACTCCAAAGGTGACTTCCCGCCAGTCTGAGGTCTCACCCCTCACTGTAACTCTCTGCTTCCTATTGTTTAGGTACTCCCTTATCCACTGGAGCGCCCTACCAGTTACTCCTGCCTGTTTCTCCAGCTTATGCATCAACCTTTTATAGGGTACTGAGTCAAAGGCTTTCCGACAGTCCAAAAAAATGCAGTCCACCCACTTCTCTTTCTTGTTTAATCTTTGTCACCTGATCGTAGAATTCTATCAAGCCTGTAAGGCAAGATTTACCCTTCCTGAACCCATGTTGATGGGTTGTCACGAAGTCTCTTCTCTCCAGATGTGTTACTAGGTTTTTTCTCACAATCTTCTCCATCACCTTGCATGGTATACAAGTTAAGGACACTGGCCTGTAGTTCAGTGCCTCTTGTTTGTCACCCTTTTTGTATATTGGTACTACATTAGCAGTCTTCCATATTTCTGGAAGGTCCCCCGTTTCCAGTGACCTACTATACACTATGGAGAGTGGTAGGCAAAGTGCTCCTGCACACTCTTTCAATACCCATGGCGAGATTTCATCCGGCCCAACAGCTTTTCTCAAATCCAGCTCCAATAGGTGCTTCTTGACCTCATCTCTTGTAATTTCGAACCTATCCAAGGTCACCTGGTTTCTGCCACCTCTTCTAGCGCCGCGACATCTCCCTGTTCTATTGTAAAGACCTCCTGGAACCTCTTGTTGAGTTCTTCACACACCTCTTTGTCATTCTCTGTGTACCTGTCCTCGCCCACCCTAAGTTTCATCACCTGTTCCTTCACTGTTGTCTTCCTCCTGATGTGACACAACACAGAATTCTGCATCTGAGCAGAATTCTGTGTTGCGTTTCACTTACGAGATGGAGAAGGATGGGAAGCTGCCCTTTCTAGATGTAACAGTCATGGAAAGGAGCGGAGTTTTCCACACTGCAGTCTACACTAAGGAAACAAACATAGGAATGTGCCTGAATGCCAACAGTGACTGCCCGGACAGGTACAACAGGAGTGTTGTTAACGCTTATGTAGACCGTGCTTTCAGCCACAGCTCAGAATGGAAGCAAGTCGACGAAGAACTCTGTAGGGTAAGGCAGGTCCTAGTCAACAACGGCTTCTCCAATGGTTTCGTCGAAGACATCATAAGAAGGAAAGTGAAACGCCATGCAACCTCTGAAGAGACAACTAACACAACACCTATACCCCCTATTAGACTATTTTACAGGAACTTCTTTTCCACAGCCCATAAAACGGAGGTAAGGGTCCTGAAAGATATTGTCAGTAGAAACGTTATCCCTACAGACAAAAATCAGAAGATACAACTGACGATTTACTATAAAACCAGAAAAACGGCCAGCCTACTCATGAGAAATTCTCCAGACACAAAGCAGAACGCTTTAAAAGAGACCAACGTCGTCTATGCCTTCAAATGCCCACTTGGGGAGTGTAAGCTCCAAAAAAAAACAGTATATAGGCAAGACAACAACATCTCTTTCTAGGCATTTAACGATGCATAAGCAACAGGGCTCCATTAAGGAACATATAATCTCTTCCCACAACCAAACTATCGCCAGAGAAATCCTAGTAAACAACACAGAAATCATCGATAGATACAGCGATAGCAGACGGCTTGACGTTTGCGAGGCACTGCACATTAAGAAGTCAACACCAGCAATCAACAGCCAATTAATACACAACTATATTCTACCCACCTCAAGACTCCGCTCCAATATAGAAGCATCAAGAAATATGGACCAATAGACTTTCTACAATCAATTCCATTTCTATACCCATTGTTTCGTGTTCTGTCTTGTGTTGATGAAATTAATACCCTATTAAATACCACCGCACCCCATCCACCTCACTCAAATGTAGATATAAACAAATCGGAGATATGTAAGCTCTATTCAGTTGTGTATGTGTGAAGTCTTTGAAAATGTAATAAGTTTTACGAAACGCGCTCAAGTGTCGCGTCAGACTAGAAATAAAAATGAATTTTGGAGAATTGATTTTTTAATTACCTCCAACAGTGAAAAGAAATGTACGAAAGATTGAGAAAATTCGTGTTAGAATTATTAATCTTACTTTTTCGGTCATATTTAATAATATATGTCTACAGGAAAGACTGCTACCAAAATATATATATATATATATATATATATATATATATATATATATATATATATATATATATATATATATATATATATATATATATATATATATATATATATATATATATATATATATATATATATATATATATATATATTAGTATATTTTGGTAGGTCTTTCTTTTAAACATATGTTGTTTGTAAAAACATATGTATATCATAAAATGTTTTTACTCGAGTCTATCACCATTTGTATGGTGAGCAGGTGGCTTCTTTGATGGTGTCCCACCTTCGTGCTTCGTCTCGGCGTCAGTATGAAGTTTCCTTGTTGTCCTCCTGGTTTTTCTTGTCCCTTCGTAGGTCTACTTTGGTTTCTGATGCTGTGTTGTTGTCCATTCATTCGTGAATATTTCAAGATCGTCATCCTATGCCTAATACTGTCGCTTGTTATCGTGCGGCGCTAACGATGCTGCTGCAGCTTGCGTTCGGGGTTGATGTTACTTCGGCACTGTTCCGCAAGCTGTCTCGTGCATTGTTTCATCTCCAGCCTGCTCAAGCGCCGCCTGAGCCTTTGGATCGGGTGCTCTCCTTTCTCTTTTCTCCTCGGTTTGTAGTGGCCCCTTCGGTTGAGGATTGTTTCTCTAAGGCTCTTTTCCTGTTGGCATTGGCCTCGTCGAGTCGGGTCGGGGAGCATTGTTCTCCTCTGGCGCAGCGGTTTCGGCTCGTTTGGTCCCGGTGGTAGGTTTGTTCGGTTGCAGCCGTCTCTTTCTTTTCTAGTGAAGAATGAGACTGCTGCTTTCTGACAGGGTCCTCGGTTTATTGATGCTTGGTTGGTTAGGCTGGGGGTGCATCATGTGTTGTCAGGTTGTGTAGCTCTCTACCCTTATCTGTGCACCACAGCTTCTGTGTCCAGGGACGTGCTTTGGGTTGATCCGGTTTCCCTTCTTCCCTGTTCCAGGGTTCGGGGTCTCCCAGGTCGTCCACTGGGTTATTTGGTCTGGCCAGCCTGTGGTCTGTCCCTGTGCCTAAGATTTTTTGCAAGTTTGCGGCGCTTGTTGCCGTCTTCGGTAACTTGTCTTCGGCTGACATTCGGGCGCGGGGTTTTTGGCAGTCGAACTAGGTCCTGGCTGCGCTCTAACTGGCCAAGGTTCATGGGCCTCGTCGGGGCTGTATTGCTTTGGGTTGGCAATTGCAGTCAGTTGTCTCAACTTCGGATTGAGCAGCGAGTGCCGACCGCCTCCCAGGTCTCATTTTGTTTTTGTCTTTAGGTAAGTAGCTCCAGGAAACCGGACGTGCTCCCCCAGAAAACCAGCGTTGAATGTAATGAAACTCTATTTTCTGAGTGAGACCCGGCAGCTCCCCCAGCAACCCTCCCTCCCCTCCGGTCAGCGTTTTTTTCGCGTGTTTTTGACATCCAGCCTCAGAACTGGGGTGTGGGCAGCCGGCGTGAGGGTCTGGGGCTCCCCATTTTCCCTCCTGGGGAGGGGGGAGCTGCACAGACATGCAGCGGGGCAACGTGGTGACATCATGCTCGTTTTCGATTAGGGAGTTCTGTCCAATAGTTCGACTTTCTTTAGCAATTTCTTATCCAGAATAGGTGTTTGTTTTGGGGCGCTTACCTTTCTGGGTGCCTGACCTGGTCGATGGCAGACATAGAATGCTTCCAACCTCACGGAGGTTCAATAGGTCATTGCTCTTCATGCCTCTCTGAGAGGGCCAGGTTTTGGCTCATGGTCTCAGGTAGGCCTAGAACTCCACACTCACTGATGCTAGTCTAATATATCCATATTAGCCTGGAGAGCTCTGGGGAGCCTCCGGGGTCTCGCCCAGATAATGGCGTTTTATTACATTCAATACTGTATTTTTTTCATTTGAGTTAAAACTTGGGCAAGAATGCTTACCTGGTTGATGGGGTTCTGGGAGTTCTTCTACTCCCCAAGCCCGGCCCGAGGCCAGACTTGACTTGTGAGAGTTTGGTCCACCAGACTGTTGCTTGGAGCGGCCCGCAGGCCCACATACCCACCACAGCCCGGTTGGTTCGGCACTCCTTGGAGGAAACAATCTAGTTTCCTCTTGGCCACGGTTGTTCCTGCAATATTTCTGATGCTCGCTGGTAGGACAATGCTTGGGTAATGTTCCGGGACTGCAGTGAGAACTACTTCCCTTTTGACTGAGTTGAAAGCATTTTTGAAATCTAATTTTACTACCGCCTTGTCTTTGGTAAGAGAACTGATGTAGGATCGTGTAGCATGGGCTGCTGCTTCACTGCCTTGGGGGACCCCCAAACCCCAACTGGTTGGGTTTCAGCAGTCATTCATTCATACATGCAAGAATGCATCCAAAGATTTGAAATTTAAAATTGTGCAGCATAAATGTTCTGTAAGAAGTGGCAAAATACTTGAATTCACCTAATGGCTACTATCTTTCTAGTGACCTTTATAAGGACAGGAAGCCAGCGGCTTGTAAATGGGCAATTTCTCCTGATGATTTTATCGAACTGAATTTTGAAATTCAGCTATGTTTTGGCATTTATGGCTTTGGCATATAGCCACTTCGAAGGGTTTATAACCCTCTGGGTGGAAAAGCTTCTCCAGTTTTCGGTCCTGCATTGTGGCTTCTTGAACTAGAAATAATTTTTCTTTATTTGTGTTATATCTGTCCTTTTGAAGAAGTGGTCTAGATAAATATCCTCCAAATTGTTCAATATTTTTAAAAGTTTAGATGAGAAACACACACAAATCACAATTGCGTGATGCATCAAATGATAAAATCCACAAATCTACACCCTCGTCACGGCCCCCGCGAATTTGTTCATCCGATGAGAAAATTTCACCCCTGTCATATCTGGTTTGCAGTGTTGTTAGCCCTGGGGCCCGCAACCATTCCTGGTATGAGAGTTGACTTAAATCTAAAATGTTTTTGGTTATGGGTTGTACATTTGCATCCATTTCCATTCTGTCATTTAAAAAACAATCTTAGTAATATGATTAATAGATAGCTATCCCCGCAGAAATAGTACTTCTGGGAACTCACATGTACTGTAATGCTCATTAGGTCATATGCAGTTTCCTCTTGCTTTTATGTTCATGAACTAATATTACAAAGACAGTGTTGAGGTGAGAAAACTGAACAAAGCATACACATTTTAGTGTGGGTGTGCGGATGGGTGCTTGATAAAAAGGTAAGGTTTAGCGGACTTTATAGTTTGCTATGGGTAGCGCACCTGTTTAATTTTTATCTTATATACATATATCCCTTTAGAAAATTCTATTTCAAAGAAATTGATACCGAAATGAACGATGTATCACGAAAATTGACGTGAGAAAACTGAAAAGAGTATCACATCTGAGTGCTGGTGTTGTGGGTGTGCGGAGGGGTGCTCCTGCAAGGGTAGCACTTGGCCAAATTTTGGGTTTGCTGTGGGTTGCACGACAGGACTTTTTTGTTTTTAACCCTATATGCTTACATCCCTTTAGAGAATTCTATTGTGAACAATTTTGTACCAAAATGAACAATGTAACATGAAAATTAACATAAAACTGAAATAAGTACTGTATACATATTTTAGTGTGGTTGCGATCTCACGGTTAACGCTTGGCCGATTTTCGGGTTTGCTGTGGGTGGCTTTGTGGACTTAGATGCATATAGCCCTTTAGAGAATTCCGTGGCGAAGAATTTAATACCAAAATGAATGACGTAGCCAGAAAACTGAAAAGAGTATACACATTTTAATGTGAGTGCGTGCTCACAGGAAACACCAGGCCCACCTTTAGGTAAGCTGGGGCACGCACACCCGGGACGCGAAAGTGAAATTAATATTCTGTACAGTTTTCTTCAAAACAGATCGAGTAAGGATTTGTAATGTAATTTGTTGTTAAGACATACCTGTCAACTTTTTTTACAGACTAATAATAAGAAAACAGAGGACATCAAGTTCACCTTCTTTGGGTATTCTCTGGCTACTGTGGATGTGAACAGTGATGGTCTGGAGGACATTGTTGTTGGCGCTCCCTTCTACAGCTCTGGAAAAAATGACCAGGGTGCGATCTTTGTGTACATGCAGAATACCTTCTCCCTGCCTGGTGATATTAACCAACAGTTGGAATATGAGGTTTGTTTTGGCATTTTGTTACTTAAGTGTTAATGAAGATAATTATTAAAAATACATAGTAATTGTGTAATATACTCAATATTGAAACTTTATTCTATGATTTTTAAGTGCCAGCCTAGTTAAAACAGTTTTAAACATTTTTTTCAATTAGATTTAGCGCCTTACCTACAATTAGCATTTCAACTTTTATTATTTTTTAAGGATTAGAATGCTCCACTCTGACTTTCCAACTAATGTTGTATACATGTAGCCTGGAAAGTCTTCCAGCATCTTAAAATGCTCATCTTATTCTTCGCAATACGTTCCGTTTGCATGAAGGTTTTCTTCCCGATGACTGCATGAGTGGTAATGTTGAAAGATGTGGCACTTACACTGGCGCATCAATGTTCATGACTGGGCCGAGGTTGAAAGTTACTGAGGTCGTCTATTTGTGTGAGGATAGACAAAAATATAACATATGAGTGGAAATGGACTCCAGTTTCCAACTGGATGAACTGAATGAATCTGTAAGGATTTAAAATGTGATTACCAAACTCAATTCACTCTTTCAACAGACTTATAAATTCAGACCTCTGGGTTTACACATTAAAACAGACACACACACACACAAACACACACACACACACACACACACACACACACACACACACACAATTTTGCGGATGACGCAAAATTAATGAGAAGAGTTGTGACAGACGAGGATTGTAGGATCCTCCAAGAGGACTTAAACAGGTTGCAGAGATGGTCAGGGAAATGGCTACTGGAGTTTAACACCAGTAAATGTAAAGTTATGGAAATGGGATCAGGTGATAGGAGACCAAAGGGACAGTACACAATGAAGGGGAACAGCCTACCTGTAACGATTCGAGAAAGAGACCTGGGAGCGGATGTGACACCTAATCTAACTCCTGAGGCACATATAAATAGGATTACGATAGCAGCGTACTCTACACTAGCGAAAATTAGAACTTCATTCAGAAACCTAAATGAGGAGGCTTTTAGGGCGCTTTACACTGCCTACGTGAGACCCGTCTTAGAGTATGCCGCGCCATCATGGAGCCCCCACCTGAAGAAACACATAAAGAAACTGTAGAAGGTCCAGAGGTTTGCGACGAGGCTTGTCCCAGAGTTACGAGGGATGGGATATGAAGAGCGTCTGAAGGATCTGAACCTTACGACACTAGAGAAAAGAAGGGAGAGAGGAGATATGATAGGGACATATAAAATACTCAGAGGAATTGACAAAGTGGAAATAGATGAAATGTTCACACGTAATAATAACAGAACGAGGGGATATGGGTGGAAACTGGAAACTCAGATGAGTCAGAGATGTTAGGAAGATTTCTTTTAGCGTGAGAGTAGTGGAAAAATGGAATGCACTTGGGGAACAGGATGTGGAAGCAAATACTATTCATACTTTTAAAACTAGGTATGATAGGGAAATGGGACAGGAGTCGTGCTGTAAACAACCGATTTCTGGAAAGGCGGGATCCAAGAGTCAATGCTCGATCCTGCAAGCACAAATAGGTGAGTACAAATAGGTGAGTACACACACACACACACAAACACACACACACAACACACACACACAGGTGTGTGTGGTGTGAAGGTGGTGACAAGCAACTTTTTAACCCAGCATGTCGGAGAACCAACATGGATGAGAGGCAATGACGAACCAGCGAGACTCGACCTAGTCTTCACTCTGAACGACTCCGACATAAGAGAAATCGGTTTTGAGGACCCAGTAGGAATGAGCGACCACAGTGTACTGGTGTTTGAGTACTTGATTGAAGAAGGGTTATTGAACTCGAGGAGGGATACCGAAACCAAATGGTTAGCATACCGAAAGGGAAACTATGAGGGGATAAGAAAATTCCTAACAGATATAGCATGGGAAACAGAGCTCAGGGACAAGACGGCCAAGATATGATGGATTACATCACGCAGAAGTGCAAGGACGCAGCAAACAAGTTTGTCCCAGTCCAAAAGGAAAACAGAGAAATGAAAATGAGAAACCCATGGTTTAATCAGAGATGTAGGCTAGCTAAGCAGCAAAGTAAAAGGGCATGGAGAAACTATAGGAATAACAGGACACTGGAGAGCAGAGAAAGATATCAGAATGCCAGGAATGAATATGTCAGGATGAGAAGAGAGGCAGAAAGACAATACGAAAATGACATCGCAAGCAAGGCGAAGACTCAGCCTAAATTGTTGTATAGCCACATCAGGAGAAAAACAACAGAAAAGGAACAGGTTATGAAATTAAGGATAGGGGCAGAAGGATTCGCTGCAAATGACAAGGAAGTGTGTGAGGAATTGAATAAGAAATTCCAGGAGGTCTTCACCTTAGAGCAAGGAGAAATTCCAGAGGGAATAGCTAACCAGGAACCACTGGAAGACTTTGAGATTACCAGCGGGGAAGAAAGGAAGTGTTTACTAGAGTTGGATGTGACAAAGGCTATAGGCCCAGATGGAATCTCCCCTTGGCTTCTAAAGGAAGGAGCAAGAGAACTGTGCCTACCACTCTCCATAGTGTATAACAAATCACTGGCAACAGGGGAACTGCCAGATATTTGGAAAGCAGCTAACGTAGTCCCGATATACAAGAAAGGGGATAGACAGGAGGCACTGAACTACAGGCCAGTGTCCCTAACCTGCATACCATGCAAGCTGACGGAGAAGATTGTGCGAAAAAAAACTAGTGGAGCATCTGGAGCGAAGGAACTTTGTAACACAGCATCAACATAGGTTCAGGGATGGCAGGTCCTGCCTCACAGGGTTACTTGAATTCTACGACCAGGCAACAAAAATAAGGCAAGAAAGAGAAGGGTGGGCAGACTACATATTTTTGGATTGTCAGAAAGCCTTTGATACAGTGCCACACAAGAGGCGAGTGCGAAAGTTGGAGATGCAGGCTAGAATGAAAGGGAAGGTACTCCGGTGGACAGAGGAGTACCTAAGCAACAGGAGACAACGAGTCTGTGTGAGGGGTGAGGTCTCAGATTGGCGAGACGTCACTAGTGGAGTCCCGCAGGGGTCAGTCCTTGGACCTATACTGTTTCTGGTATGTGTAAATGATCTCCCAGAGGGTATTGATTCGTTCCTCTCAATGTTTGCCGACGATGCAAAAATTATGAGGAGGATTGAAACAGAGGATGATAGTAGGAGGCTACAAGATGACCTAGATAGACTGAGTGAATGGTCCAACAAATGGCTGTTGAAGTTCAACCCGAGTAAATGCAAAGTAATGAAACTAGGCTGTGGAAACAGGAGCCCAGACACAGGATACAGAATAGGAGATGAAGTACTTAATGAAACAGACAGAGAGAAAGATCTTGGAGTTGATATCACACCAAACCTGTCTCCTGAAGCCCACATAAAGAGAATAACGTCTGCGGCATATGCGAGGCTGGCTAACATGAGAACCGCGTTCAGGAACCTGTGTAAGGAATCATTCAGAATCTTGTACACCACATATGTAAGACCAATCTTGGAGTATGCGGCCCCAGCATGGAGCCCGTACCTTGTCAAGCTCAAGACGAGGCTGGAAAAAGTCCAAAGGTATGATACTAGACTAGTCCCAGAACTAAGAGGTATGAGTTATGAGGAAAGGCTGCGGGAAATGCACCTTACGACACTGGAAGACAGAAGAGTAAGGGGAGCCAGGATCACAACCTACAAAATCCTCAGGGGAATCGACCGGGTAAACAAGGATGAACTATTCAACACTGGAGGGACGCGAACAAGGGGACACAGGTGGAAGCTGAGTACCCAAATGAGCCACAGAGACATTAGAAAGAACTTTTTCAGTGTCAGAGTAGTTAACGGATGGAATGCATTAGGCAATGATGTGGTGGAGGCTGACTCCATACACAGTTTCAAATGTAGATATGATAGAGCCCAGTAGGCTCAGGAACCTGTACACCAGTTGATTGATAGTTGAGAGGCGGGACCAAAGAGCCAAAGCTCATCCTCCTCAAGCACAAATAAGTGAGTACACACACACACACACACACACACACACACACACACACACACACACACACACACACACACACACACACACACACACACACACACACACACAGTAAAGGGATGGAGTAAATCAACTACGAAACGTTTTTACTTATGTGAAACATCACGCCAGTCACAGGATACATTTCCCACCCCATCTTTCCCTTAACACTCCCCCCCCCTCCCCCCTGCATGGGAACCGTTCTAGATAGGGGCCTTGGACACTTAGTTGACAAGTGTTGGACAACTGACAATACTTCTAATCTCTCACCCTCCTCCTCTTCCTCCCTCTCCTCCCTTAAGCATACGCAAATAGTACTCTTCTGTGCCTCTTCCCCTTCCTCCCAATATCTCTCCCCCTAACCTCCCTATACACACACTTCAGTGTTTGTGTTTTTTGTGTTTACAGTGTTTTTAGTATAACAAGTAGCCTTGGATACTAGCTAAAGAAAGTAAAGAATCTTGACATATACGGCTCATGTAGGTACTAGCTTCTGTCACCTTAGTGTCAAAAGATCACACCGCCAATCTCCCCAACCCCCATCATACACCACACGCCCCACACACCAACCCGTTCTCGCAAATTTAATAAGTCAATATTGACTTATTAAATATGTGCATAGGTGACATACTTAACATAATAGATACCCTTAAAAAGATTCATAGAAAACACCGACTTTACCTAACCTTGTTAGTATTTTAAGATAAGCATCTTATAGCTTCGTAATTACAATTATTACCTAACCTATAATAGGTATAGGTTAAGTAATAATTGTAATTACGAAGCAATAAGATGCTTATCTTAAGATACTAACAAGGTTAGGTAAGGTCGGTGTTTTCTATGAATCTTTTTAAGGGTATCTATTATGTTTAGTATATCACCTATGCACGTAGTTAATAAGTCAATATTGACTTTACGAATTTGCGAGAACGGGTTGCAACCACACACACACACACACACACACACACACACACACACACACACA